TTTTTTTTTTAGAGATAGAGCACCTTTCGTATTAACATCCGATATGGCTTATGTAATAAACGGCGGTGATAGACCGTCAGAAAAATTCCACAAATTCGTAGATTTATGTTGTCAAGCTTTTAACATAATAAGAAATAATGGAAACTTATTTTTATATCTTTTTACATTGGTATTTATTTAAATATGTAAAAAATTTCGATGTAACAAATTTTTTTTTAGATGGCTTCGTCTGGAATTAAAGGTGTAACCGCGGAGGCGGTCAATAATTTAAGTCAAGCTTTACTTCCTGGGTTATCTAATCCGGAAGCTGCTGCATATTTCGCACGGTTAATTGAGAGTTCATTAAAATCATGGTTTACACAAATTAATTTCTTTTTGCATAATTTGGCTCAATTTAAATTGTCAGGTGAACAAGAAGGTGGTGAATTATTATCGTTTGTACCCAAGAAATACACGTAAGTAATTTTACTTTAATTACTTAATTCATATTTTTCACTCTAACATGAATTTGATTTTACTTAATTGGGACACGTTAAGGTATAATTCAAAAATTATCATGTCGTTTAAAACTCAAGTAAGCCGTTACGAATAATAAAAAGTGCGGAAAAGTGTAAAACTTACCGAAAAATCACTTTAAAGTTTCGACGTGACGTCACTTTTTGTGACGTCATCGACCGTGCTAACCATTTTTATAGCGCATTTGGTTAAAACGCATATTTTCGGGTGAAATACGGTTGTTTCTTAGGTTTTCGACACACAACGACTAAAATGTCGTTGTTTACTATTTATAAACTAAAGATAATCTAAAATCTAGTGTTAGTTCTACTTGCACTGTCACTAGAACTAACATTAGACCAGTGACAGTGCAAGTGTAAAACCGCATCTGTAAAGCCGTCTTTAGAGACGTGCGGCTAAACCCAAATGATTCTAGTTTTCGGTCTAGTGTTAGTTCTAGGGGCAGTGGTAGGTAGCGCTAGTTAGCGTAAGATATTACTATGTTGTATATTTTTATTAAACTAAAATTAGAATTAGATTAGTCGTGAAAAATCCTTTCAGTTGTCAATATCAACTTTAATTTTATTATTATATTCGTAACCTTCATAAAATAACCTTTAAAGTTAGTCCAAACTTGACGCATTTATCTCAAAAAACCAAAAAGTTCGAACTTTCAACTTTTAATTTTGACATATTTGTCAACTTAATAAAAAATCCTTTAAAATGAGTCCAAACTCGACATATTTATTAATGGAAATACAATCACTTCCGCTTTGAAACGGCAACGTCAATTTTGACATATTTGTCATCGTCATTAAAAAACCTTTAAAAATAAAAAAGTTATAATAAAAAACATTAAACCCGAAGTTAGCAACAATGAAGATAGCAATTTAATTTTTAAATATTAATACCAACCTTAATTTTTGATTTTTTTTATTATATTTCCGTTTTTGTAACAAATTTTAACACATTTTATAAAAATTAAGAATATGTCAAAATGCCATTGACATTTCAAACCGGAAGTTGCTTATATCTAGTGTAATATTGGAATTAAACATCATGTTTGGACTCATTTTAAAGGATTTTTAATGAAGATTACAAATATGTCAAAATTGAGGTTGATATTTTAAACCTGAAGTTAGTTATCATATAATAGAAGTTTTATAACTGAAGTTAATCTAGTGTTAGTCACTTTTCCGCACTTTCTTTTTATTTTTAAAGTGTTTTTTGGGTCATTTCACATTGACTCTTGAATTTTTCCCAAGTTTCTTAATATTTTTTTCGTTAAAAAGCGTTCTTAAATTTTAACCTGTAAACTTGTAACACTTCGTCCTTAATTTCATTTTACAACTTTTTAAACTTTAATTTTGTAAATTAATAACTAATAATCTGATTTCGACTTTGACATGTGATCTTTTTTAACAAAACGAAAATAAATATTAAGAAACTTGTTTGTAAAATGGATAAGATGAGAGATATTAATCTATTTGTAGAGTTTCTGAAGATAGCCAAGGTCCGAAACTGGTTAGATTTAAATTCTATATAAAATGAAAACCAGTTTAAAAGTACAAAATCAAACTCGAGATTACTTTCTTCAAAAATTTTTACACGAATCGTCATCATTTTGTCTCTAGTTTTAGTGATTAAATTTATGCCACGACTTACAGAAACACCTGTATAATCGTAAAACGTAACGAGTGATCAAGCGGGTTCTGTGCTTGTGATAGCTGTCATCAGTGTTCTGTGATAAAAATGGACAGGCACCATACAATTTTCAATAGTTTGGTGCGACGTCTTATATTCCGAGACGTCTTATATTTTTAGAGAGATGAAAACGAAAATCCCGTTTTTCTCAACATTATTCATTTGTCGCTTAGTCAAGTGATGCATAACGCGGTCCAATTGTTGTGCAGCGCAAGATCAAGAACTAGAATCATTCGGGTTTAGCCGTCTTAAGAGACTTAAGGCTAAACCCAAATATTTTTACTTCTAAGTCTAATGTTAGTTGTAGTGGCAGTGCAAGAGTAAAACTAGAAGTAGCACTATACCTAGAACTAAAATCGTTCGGGTTTAGCCGTCTTTAGAGACGTGCGGCTAAACACAAATGATTCTAGTTCTAGGTATAGTGTTAGTTCTAGTTTTACACNTCTCTAAAGACGGCTAAACCCGAATAATTCTAGGTCTTATTTTAATTTTTATGCTAGTGCAAAACTAGAACTAACACTAGACCTAGATCTAGAAACATTCAGATTTAGCCGCATGTCTCTCAAGACGGTTAAACCCAAATGATTCTAGTTCTAGGTCTTGTGTTAGTTTTAGTGATAGTGCTAGTGTAAAACTAAAACTAACACTAGACTTAGAACAAGAAATATTCGGGTTAAAGATGTACGGCTAAACCCGAAACTTTCTACTAGTTCTAAGTCTAGTGTTAGTTTTTAATATTAGTGTTAGCTCTAGTTTTAGTTGTTATTCAGTGTTAGATAGTTGTATATTTTTATTGAACTAAAACTAGAACTAACACTATACCTAGAACTAAAATCGTTCGGGTTTAGCCGTCTTTAGAGACATGCGGCTAAACACAAATGATTCTAGTTCTAGGTATAGTGTTAGTTCTACACAGTAACAGTGTTAGTGTAAAACTAGAACTAACACTAGACCTAGAACTAGAAAGTTTCGGGTTTAGCCGTGCGTCTGAAGACCCGCTCGAAGAAAGCGATTTTTGAAAATTGATGAAACAACAGCTGTGGTGTCCGAGTGGTTAAGGAGATGGACTTGAAATCCATTGGGTTCTACCCGCACAGGTTCGAATCCTGTCCACAGCGAATTTTTTTATACAGATTTTGTTGATTCAAAAGTTTATCTAATTGTAAAATCGTATAGAAATAATTAAACATTCATAAGCTCTCCTTTATTCTCTGAATTAATTAAAGTTTGTTGAAAAATCTTTTCTTTCTAGAAGAATTAAAATTTCTGCTGTCATTAAACGACATATAAAAAATGTTATGTTGTGGTACTACGAATTATTGTAGTTTAAAACAATGCATAATTGGTTCGTGCCAAATAAACGAATTAACGATTAATTAGTGTCCTATTTAAGCGAAGTTAAATAAAATTTCATATTTTTAAATAATTGAAGACCTTGCAGCAACAACACGTCAGCTCCTTTTTAACAAATTGTTTAGGAGGCACAAAAAAAATTTCTGTAACAATACCCTAAGTCTTTTACAATAAGTTTTTTTTTCTATTAGATATAATCAAAGTTTCACACCGATTAAAATCATTTTTAGCAAAATTATACTTTCAAAAATTTGTTTATTCATAATTGTGTGTTGGAGCTACCAATTGACCAAAAAACTACTTTATTAGTATTTTATAGATTTACAAAACCAGTAATTTATTTAAACAGTTATTCATTTGCGTCATCGTCAGTCATATCAATGTCATCGTGATTTTCTACCACATTATCAGATTTTAAAGGTCTGTAAAATGGTAAATCATTTTCGGGTACATACTTATTTGCTAATGTCATTAAATTGTTGAATTTTTGGAATTTCAATGGCAGTGGTGTAGAATATGAAGCTGCTGAAAGTTCTAAAGAGATGTGTCCATTAGTTCTGGCTATTTGAAAATTTTATTTAAACAATTATTCATTTGCGTCATCGTCAGTCATATCAATGTCATCATGATTTTCTACCATATTCTCACATTTTAAAGATCTCTAAATTGGTAAATCAGTTTCGGGTACATACTTATTTGCTAATGTCATTAAAATGTTGAATTTTTAAAATTTTAATGGCAGTGGTGTAGAATATGCAGCTGCTGAAAGCTCTAAAGAGATGTGTCCATTAGTTCTGGCTATTAGAAAATCTTATTTAAACAGTTATTCATTTGCGTCATCGTCAGTCATATCAATGTCATCATGATTTTCTACCACATTCTCAGATTTTAAAGATCTGTAAAATGGTAAATCATTTTCGGGTACATACTTATTTGCTAATGTCATTAAATTGTTGAATTTTTGAAATTTTAATGGCAGTGGTGTAGAATATGCAGCTGCTGAAAGTTCTAAAGAGATGTGCCCATTAGTTCTGGCTATTTGAAAATTTTATTTAAACAGTTATTCATTTGGGTCATCGTGAGTCATATCAATGTCATCATGATTTTCTACCACATTATCAGATTTTAAAGGTCTGTAAAATGGCAAATCATTTTCGTTTACATACTTATTTGCTAATGTCATTTCATAGTTTAATTTTTGAAATTTTAATGGCAGTGGTGTAGAATATGCAGCTGCTGAAAGTTCTAAAGAGATGTGTCCATTAGTTCTGGCTATTTGAAAATCCTTAAGAATCAGCAAACTAGCAGATATTGAACATTGGATGCCTTTTAGTCACACTGCTGTAAGATATTACAAGTTTTCACATAGCAAACTTCTCCTTTTCCTTATTAAATCTCGTT